CCTAATGGGGATATTTACAAATTTTATTTATTCAGAGATAAATGGAGCGATGGGCTATCAAATCCTCTTTCTGTCTTTAATTTGATTTATTTCAAGATACATTTATTGAGCAGCTTACCTTTCTTGCTGGGCGCGAGGCTAAACTAAAACAGAAGGATCAAGTTCTAGTAAAGAATTGTCTACTCAGGCCAACAAAAATATATGAGAAATAACCAGAAGGTAAGGAAGTGAGATATTTAAAAAGTGTGAGCTGGATGTTTGGAAATATGTTTGTATTTAATGTAATTAGAAAACTGCACGTATGACGTTAAGTGCCAAAGTCATTTGGTGAACATCTACCATGTTCCTGGCATAGTCCCAGGTGCAGGAGGGGTGGGAGGTGGGGAAGAGATGATGTGCCCCGTTGCCCTCCAGGAGCTGTTAGCCCTGCCAAACAGACAGGTCCACACCTAACTCTAACATAAGGTAATATAGTTGGGCCCTCTCGCCCCCTAAAAATTTCTTCCCCTGTTCCCCCTTTCCTCCCACACCTACTCCTGCCCTGCACTCCAAGGTCATTTCAATCTAGTTAATGATTCTCAACCACTTGATGAAGGAATGAGGCCAGTGAGGATTATTTACCTATATCCCAAAGGAGATTTACTTTTGCTCCACTATCTAGGTGACTCATAGGTAGGATTCAAAGACCTAATCTCATTAGAAACCTAATCCCTTTAAGAATCTTTTCTTCAACTGAGCCTGATAATTAGTTATTTTGATATTTGATTCTTGTTGTTTTGGAGACCAAAGTGGGGCCGTGGTTACTGCCAGTCACGTTAGCCTTGCAGCATTCCTAGAGGATTCCTGGGCAAGGAGATGGCTTTCAAATTGAGTGAAAAAGGCTCTTGGCAGGTGCAATTGAGAAACCATTCCAGGGATGTGGTATGGGGCAGAAGAAAGCAAAGTAGCAAGAGTAAATTAAGCAAATGAAAGAGGAACTAGAGAAGGGAATGAGATTAGCAGAGAGAAACAGAGATGGCACATGGGCCTGCTAAGGAGCAGATACAATTCTGCCATCCTTGAGATTAGAGAGAGCTACTAGGGGATGGAGGCATTTGGGTGGAGGACCTGGGAGACCAGTGTGGATAACTGAAACACCTTTTATAGGGAGTCTGAGAACCAGGGAGGAAGAAGGGGAAAAGGAGCAGGGAGACTTGGGTACAATGATCAGGATAAAGAGGGAGCCAAGGAATGCCCAGGAGGTGGTCAAAGGCCTGAAATGTTGTGGTTGGGGTAGGGAGGACATTAGAGGATGGGAGAAAGCACCAGAAAAATTATCCTTCAGAGATCCCCAGGCCCCGGAAAACTTTTCTCTGTAAAATCCTCCTCTGCCGTCTCACACCAGCATTTAAGAGTGGGTCTGAACATGAAGTCTTTTCCAGTTGTACCTCCAGTAAGCCCTTAGCTGTTCAGTGTAGTGAAGAGTAATGGCCCAGGGATGAGAAGACTTGGGCTGGAGTGCCTAGCACTGCCCCCCACCAGGTGTGAGGCCTCCCTATGCATGAACTTCCCCCATTACAAAATAGGGCTTATGACACCTGCTCTGCCTATGTCTCAAGGTTGTTTGGGGGCTCAAATTTGATCACACATGTGAAAGTGCTTTGTAAATGGTAAAACGACCAGTGTATATAAGGAATTCTATTTCTCTTCTCCTCTTCTTCCTCAATATACAAAGTTTTGCTAATGGCAGGGGGTAGATTAAACTTCTTTGGCAATTTCAGCATTCGAATTGCCCAGATCCTCAAGCTTCAAACTTCTTTCGTTACTTGCACTGCCCCTTGTGGCATAAATTATCCAAAAATATTCCTCTAGCATAAAAAAACAGTTGCTATTGAGTCAGTTCTGATTCATTGTGACCCCTTCTGTGTCAGATTAGAGCTGTGCTCCATACAGTTTTCAATAGCTGATTTCTTGGAAGTAGACCACCAGACCTTTCTTTCAAGGTGCCTCTGTGTGGACTTCAACCTCCAACCTTTCAGTTAGCGGCCGAACACATTAACCATTTGCACCCCTAGGGACTCCTTGTCTAGCACAAACAGTTTCATTTCCTTCAAGGAAAAGGAGTCAAAACAATGGGGATAATTACGGCTCTGTTTTTCTGCTGACAAAATCTGAGACTTGGCATCTGTAAAGGACAGTGGTTAAGAGCACTGTTGCCAGAGACAGACTGTCTGGATTTGAATCCTGGCTTCTCCACCTAGTGGCTTGGTGACCTTGAGCATTTTACTCAACTTCTCTGAACCTTGGTTCCACATCTGCAAAATGGAGATAACAATAACGTTGACTTCAGAGGATTGCTATAAGGATTAAATGAGCTCATATATAAATTATCTGTAACTTAGATCAGTGGCTGGCTCACAGTAAGAGTTCAATGAATGTAAACTTTGATGATGATGATGGTGGTGGTGGTAATGGTGGTAATGGTGGTGATGATGGGCTATTTGGTTTATAGGGAAGCTTTTCACACCTCCCCGAGCACAATGATCCCCTCTGCCCATCCTTTCTTCCCAGGAGCCCAAACCACTTACACGCACACACGATGTCTCATCAGAGCTAGTATTTTAATTACAAATGACACTCAGTCAAGGCAATGGATGTGAACTTAAGAAACTCAGGTTAATCACCCTGGGGCCTCACTGACTCATTTCATGTCCCCAGAAGGATCCCTCAACCACAGAATGACTCACCTTCTCTTCCTCTCCCTTAAATGGGAAGAACAATGCTTGTGTACTCTGTCATGGTGCAAGAATAAGTGGGTTTATTTTTTTAGACAGCTTTGAACTTGCTGGATGAAAGGAGCTATTTAGTACAAAGGAGGAGGTAAGGGTGGTTGGGCCAGCTGCTAAACTAAGACTAAACAAGCTTGTTCTTCCTTAGTGGGACCTAGTCTTGGGTAAGTGCCTCAGTGATGTTTCACCTGTGCCCAAACATCTTCTCCACCCTTTGGGGAAAAGAGAAAAGGCATGAGGGAGGAGAGTTGGTAACAGCTCCTGACCCTTCCAGACCTTCCTACAATGGAAGTCCTGATGCCTCCCAAAGAAACCGGTCCTAACTAAATGGATATTGGCCAACAGTTAGGGTTCTGGGCTTGAGAGGGGCTGGAGGCAGAGAGGCAACCAGGTTCTGTCTGAATCCTTGGGTGCTTGGGATTGTGGTCACTCCTGCAGCTACGGCCCTGTACCGTGAGGGGCTGAATTAAACAACCATCAGCTGTACTTGTAAATTTCTCAGCAAGCAACACCAATTCAGAGAGTTCACTGAACAAAGAGGAAAGACAAGGACAAGCTCCTAGAGTAGGTTTGCTGGCTCTGCTTTATCACTTGTAGCGTCACTGACAAAAAAAAAAAAAAGGCCTAGAAAGCAAGAAGTCATAGAGTTTGAAGACCTAGAGACCCTCAAAGGCCATCTCACCCAGCCGCATCAGATGCATGAGTCCCCATCTCAACATCCCCCCAGGTGATTGTAAAACCCCTGCTTGATTGGTCTCCAATGGTGGCCCATGTTTGACCAGCTCTGACACTGAGCTATAGACAGGTGCTGGTTCTCAGACACCACTGCCTAAATGTGGATCTTCTGGTTTATTTGTTGATTTGTCGTTTGTCTATGGCCTGCAAGGTCCAAGCTGGTGAGCTGCCAGAGGACACGGAAGCCTGTGGGGGAGCTTGGCTAGATCAGCTTTTATGGACCTTTCTAGTCTGATAGTCTGACAAAGACAGGTTCAGCAAATATTACCACTGAATGTTTTGAAAGTCTTGCAAGGTGCAGGGGAAGAGCACTGTCGATGGCATGCAGATTGCCCACCCGAAGGACTTAGGAGAACAAGACCAGCTCCTCCGACAGAGTGTCTGGCCAGTCAGGGCCACGTTTCCCAAGTAAATCCCCTAATCCCATAGCTCTCAAACTTAAGCTTACATCAGAATCACCTAGAAGGCTCGATAAAACAGACTGCTGGACCCCAGCTCCAAGTTTCTGGTTCAGAAAGTCGGTGGTGGGGCATGAGACTTTGCATTTCTAACAAGTTCCCAGGTGATGCTAATGCTGCTGGTCCCGGGACTGCACTTTGAGAACCACTGCCTTAACCCTTTCCATGTTTGTTCGTTTGCTTTTTCCCCCTTCAGAGCTTCCAACATAGGGGTTTGATTCTTGTTCAAAGAGACTGGGGTTCAAGTCTTGACTCAACCACCAGTTGAGAATAGTAACAGCCACTCCCTCTTTGTAAGATTGTCTGTAAAGCTCCCAGCACAGTGTCTTGCTCATAATGGGCATACAATCATGAAAGCTTAATTTAAGTAGCGCATTCTAGAAGGGTCTGGCACAACCTGTAACTATGTACAAGGACCAGATGACTTTACCCAGATAAAAAGGGGATTTTACTTAGTGTACATTTTAAGCGCTCTGTTTAAGTATGGCTGTAAGCAGGTTTGGTTGGGTCAAGAGCCGGCTGTCTATCTTCTGTGCCATGTTGCCACGGTCCCATTTTTAACCCTCGTCCTTACTGGTTTTGCCATCTCCAGAACCACTCTGGTGAGCTAGCCTCAGCATCCTACACTACAACCTCTGCTTCCATGGAACAGCTGGCCCAAGGACAGTCCACCAACGCTCTTGGCCTGGGATGGGGAAACTGAGTCCAGCAGGCACTGGGCTCATTATGCTGCAGAAGTGAAGTTTATTATCAAAATAAAATGAAATTGCCTACCACGTCTCAGGGAGACCAGGAAGCAACAGAAGAGAGAAAACAGAGGACCCACAACACCCTGAAGAGAAGCACAAATCCAGGGGCAGGGCCTGCACTGCTGGACTCAAAAGCCCATCAGCCGAGAGGCTCTGCCTCACTTCAGTCATTCTGCCTGGCTGGCAGTGAGTCAGGCTGTAGGAAGCAAGCTGGGTAGCAGGGCCAGAGAGCAGAGGGAAAGATGCTGCCGACTTTGCCCATTTTCCAGCACCTCAGGGTGAGGAGCGTGTCAGCATCGAATCAATGAGCAGGGCCCACAAGAGACCCGAGGAGCCTTGGAGAGGCAGGGAGAGCAGGGGGTACAGGCTGCAGGGGCTGGATAGGGGGTGCTGGAGGCTGGGGTCACACACAGGTTGCAGGGAAGTCTGCAGAGAGAAAAAAAAAAGATGTTTGGACCATTGGCGTGAGAAGTACATAAAAGACAAAAGCATATAGACACTTTAGAATTTTAGAGGCAAAGGGAATTTTAGGCCGTCAAGGTCCTTGTCATTTGGCCAAAGCCTAGAAAGGGACAGTGACCTTCCTTCCCTGAGTCCACAATAGAGCTGGGACCAGAACTCAAGTTCCCCATGTGCAAGACAGTGGAAAGGAACGCAACAGAGAGAAAAGTAAAAAGGCTGGCGGAGTAAGAGCAGGCCAGACATCGGCTGCCTGTTAAACAAAGCCCCTCATCTTGTTCCTTATTTGTTAAAGGAGTGTACTGTCAGTCTTAGCTTTATCACAGGACTATTGAGGAACTAAAATGAGAAAATAGGTACAAATACTCTTAGCAATATTTTTAAATGCTATGAGTAGGAAGAATTCTTGCTACTGTAAGAATTGCTAAATTCCTCCAGAGAGAATTTAGCAAAACCTAAATGCACTGACCTCAGTATTTTAGCCCCCTGTGGGAGTGGCTAGCAGCTGGGAGCACAATGTGGTTAGTGAAACAGGCTGTATAAGCCCAAAAGGATGCTGCACACTCTACTGTATGTCCAGGCAGCTGTAAGCTCACCAGGCCTCCTGGGCAGCAAGTTTGTCCCCAAAGATGGTGTCTGTAATGCCACCCCCAGCTGGCCTCCAGGGCTCCTCTTGGGAGCCCTCTTATTCCCGATAAGGGGACTCTGCTTTTCCACAGGGCTCTGACACAGAAAACAAGACACACACTTGCAGTCCTCACTCTCCAGAAGGTTCCGGTATGTGGCAATCTCACCCTCCAGCCGGGCTCTGACATCCAGCAGCACCTGGTACTCCTGGTTCTGATGCTCCAGGTCAGCCCGGATCTCAGACAGCTGCTCCTGCACATTGCTGATCAGGCTCTGCATCTGGGCCAGCTCAGTGCCGTAGCAGTCCTCGGCTTCACACAGGGAGTACTGCAGGCAGTCTTTCTGTAATACCAAAGGAAGGGGAAGTAGATTGAAAAATCATGAGTCCTTGCCCTCCACCGCTACAGTGAATAAGGCCGTGACATCCCAAGACATTGCCTGGCCTGGAGATCAATCCACCTCCTTTAGTATTCTCCAGCTTAAAGAACTAACAATATGATACTGCTCTTCATCATAGAGGTCTAAGATAAATTGGCAGAACCTCTCTCATCTGGGTTAGCATTCGCTCACTCAACATCCATATCTATGAGAATCCATATCTATGTCTTCCAAAGGAGATGAAGTTGAAGTTGTGTCTTTAGTCTCTATTTAAATGAGGCATGTATTGAACACAGGAAACTGCTAGTGAAAGAAGTGGGAGTCCAGTTGAGCCATCTATACAGGCAGAGGAAACCCACCAGCTTGTACTGAGCCTGGAGCTCAACCTCCAGGGCATTCACCGTGCGTCTCAGCTCCAGGATCTCTGACTGGCAACACTGCAGCTCCTCAGAGCAGGACATGGCCTGCAGGCTGATGCCTTTAGTCTTGAAGCACAGAGGACCAGAAAACATGGTCAACTCATTGACCCAGAACAGAAGCTGGGCTCCTCCCTCCTCTGCAGCACCATCCTCACCTGAGCTTGGAACCACTGTTCCACATCCTGGCGGTTCGTCTCCACCATGACCTCGTACTGGCATTGCAGCTCCCCTAGCACTCTGCTCAGGTCCACAGTGGGCTCAGTGCCCAACTCAATCTGGAGATTGTCCCCCAGCTGACACTTCAGAGTGTGAACTTCCTGTGGGCATAGAAGGAAGATGTCCTATTCATGGGGCCCCTACTGCCCTGCACCCAAAACCTCGGCTGATTTCCCTGTGCTTTTCTGAGGATGAGGTGCTGCCTGCACCAGCCCAGCAGCTTCCAGATGCTGTGGATGAAGAGCAACCTCCTCACTGAAAGCCAGAGCATGTCTTAAAAGCTTGTGAGCCTTCACCATGAGGCAGGGCCTACAGAGCTTCCGTCCTGAGCAGGAGGAAGCCTCTTTTCTTCACCCCAGAAAGTCTCAGCATGTAATGAAAAGGCCCACACACCTGCTTATGGTTCTTCTTGAGGCAGAGGAGCTCCTCCTTCAGGGACTCCAGCTGGGCCTCCAGGTCACACTTGCTGAGGGTGAGGTCATCCAGGGCCCTGCGCAGGCCACAGATGTCAGCTTCCACCAGTTGGTGGAGTGAGGGCTCTGTCTCATACCTTCAGCAGGGCAGAGCACAGGGTTCCGAGTC